ACTGCAACTAGTACTGAAGCATCAACAGACGATAATACTGCAACTAGCACAGAAGTATCATTGACAACGACAGGTACCGATTATATTATCCTGATTTGGAATGAAATGGTGTGTGCACGACGATACCAAGAGAATAAAAAACCTTTTTTTCCGCTTGTCTGTTTGCTTTTATTGCATGTGTTGCCTTTGTGGTTTTTCTATATGAAATAATTCAATAATTAATGAATATTTTTCTTTATATTTTAGGTGCAGATGAAACCGATGGTAAGTCTTTTCCGAAAATGTGCTTTCAAGTGATTTATATTTTGCATGAGTTTTATAAATGTGTGTGTTTGCGCATGAATAGCATCTTATGATGATCCAACCGAAGATAATAAACAAACACAAGAGACAACCACCGTTGCTGAAAATGCTAACGATAATGAAGAAGATGATGCTATTGATGAGGGAGATGATAAAACAACAACAACAACAATAATAACAACCACAAAGGCAGCGAGTGATGACACAGAAGACACATCAGATGATGTTGCATATTATGATGATCCTGATCAGGACGAAGGACGTGCAACTCCTGAAGTACCACCCATTCCACATCCGACAAGTGAGATTGATAAAATAAATAAATTTCGTCTATAATTTCGTAACGGTGCTCATCGCTTACTTATCAATTAGCTTCTTTGCAATCGGTATATATATATATTAGTAATCGCGTACAACTATTGATTTCTTATAATCATCATATTAGGCTATATTGCATGGCAATACTTATTATTTATTTTTGCTAATTGTTTATTTATCTCTTCTCCTTATTTGAATGATATATTGATAAAATAATATATCCTTGTTTTTAGGAAATGCAACAACAACAACTGATGAAGATGGAGGCAAGTCTAAATATTAAATATACTCAGTTTTTTTTCCTAAAATAATATGTAATATCATAGACGTTTATAGAATTAAAAAAAAAACAAAATTTGACTATTATGAGATACGATAGTCACCAATCATGATGAAATAAGATATAAAGCAAATAAGTTCATCTTAAGAACTCATTTGTTGATAAAAATCACTTCTTCTATTGTTAAATAGATCGGCGTGTAGATTGAGAAAAAAAAATATTTTTTTTTTTTGTTTAATTTTATTCTTTAGAATCTACCCAACCATCACGAGTTGAACTTCGTGTAATTGTCAACCCAGCAGTTCTTCATGTTCAACGTGGTCAAACAGTTGAATTAACTTGTATTGTTTATGGCGGTGATTCAAGTACAAGTATTTACTGGATTCAAGAAGAACCTGAGCGAGTAAAATATATTGACTTTGGTTTTCTTTTTCTTTTTATCTAAAATAAATTATTTTTAAAATTATTTTTAGCGTTATGCTGTATTAGATCCAGCTCGACCAAACGATAGACAAGTAACAGGATCACAAATTACTTCAACAGCACATATTACACTTGATGATCCAAGTAAAATTGGCAAATATACATGTATGGCACAAGATAGTGCTGGAAACAGTGGTTCAGCTGTTCTTGATATGCAAGAAACTAATGGTGGTTATCCTCCACAACCTCAACCTCAACCTCAACCTCAACCTCAACGTCAGTTAAATAAGAAAATTTTCCTCTAATTTCTATTTATTTTATAGCGAGTGATCGAGGAGCTTTACGTATTGTTGCACCAGATATGAGTGAAGGTGATTTTATTGAAATTCAATGTGAAGGTGCAGCACCCCAAGATGAATCACGTATTCAATGGTACTTCAATAATCGAGTATGTATTGATTATTTATTTAATTTCGGATATAAAAATAAGATCATTAAAAATAAAACAAAAACAAAAAGAAAAGTTCGATTTAGTTAATAGAAATTTATTTTCTTTTGATTTATTTTTATAGTTAATTGAACCTAAGGTAAGTTTAAAACGAGCTTTGATTCTAACTGGGATAGTATGATCTTATTAAAAACAAAAAAAAACAAAATTTCATTTTGATTCGTATTTTTCTTTTTGATGAGAATAGATTGAATCATTAGAAGTAAGTATATCGAGATTCATGATTAAGCTCATATATATTGATTTTTTTTATATGCTAATAAATGGTTTGAATAATTAAATAATGAAAAATATTGTTTATGTTCTTTAGCTTATTACTGATGAACAACCACTTTATCCACGTGGTAAAACTCTTCATATTCGACCAATTTCACGAGCATATTTGGGCAATTACCGTTGTTCTATTCCTGGCAGTGGTTATATAGATGCTAATAGTGTTTTAACATTCGCAGGTAATTTTAGAAATAATGCTTTAAATAATCTTTTTTCTTTTCTGTTATATTTGTCAAGGAATAGGACCATTACCAGGTAAACTATCATATATAATACAAAATTTGAATATCAATTGTATTTTTTTTGAAAATTTAGTTCACCCTGTTCAACCAACTGGTGAATGCGGTATTAATGAAGCACACTGCCGTAATAATCGATGTATCCCTCGTGCATTTGTCTGCGATGGTAAAGATGATTGTGGTGACAATAGTGATGAATCATGTGGACGTAAGTTTGGTTTTTAATTCTGAATTTTTGTTGTTGTTTTTTTTTTCGTGACTGATTTTCTTACATTATCTACCTAGCAGCTGATGGAAGTGGTAAGAAAATAAGCTTATTGCTCTATTTCTAAGACAAATTATTCTTGCTAAATGCATAAATGAAAAAAAAATAATATTTATCTCGAAGCAGCTGCATGCTGCATTGCTTGTTTGCAATGGAAAAAAAAACGAAAACGTAGAAATTAAATGAATAGACAATAAATTTTGTTGGAAATTTTTTAGGTTCTGATGTATGTCAACCAAATGAAATTCGCTGTTCAAGTCCTAATCGTGGAAGAAAATGTGTTCAGAAATTTTGGATGTGTGATGGTGATCGGTAAGATATATATATATATTAAGAAACAACATGTTCATATCTAAATTGATTGATTTTTAGTGATTGCGATGATGGAAGTGATGAACAACAACATTATTGTGGTGCGTAAAAAAAAAAATAAAAAGCTATGAAAATTTTTGAAATGTTCATATTCATATTTGTTTTTGTAGAATTACTTCCACGACAACGTTATTGTAAACCAAGTGAATTTCAATGCCAGGGTGCTAATGATTCATATGGAAATCCAGTATGTGTTCCACGATCATTTCAATGTGATGGTTATAGTGATTGTCCTGATCGTTCGGATGAAGTTGGTTGTAGTAAGTTTAAAATAAAAAAATTAAATAATACTTTTATTTATTTTGTTTTCGTTTTTCTTTTTTTTCTTTTATCTTTAAGCTAAGCCGACAATTATTTCACCACCACAACGTCAAATTCAAGTCAATGCTGGTGAAACATTAACTATTCAATGTACTGCTCGTGGTTCACCAGCACCATATATTAATTGGCGTCTCAATTGGGGACATATTTGTGGTGATGGTTCTGATAATGGACGTTGTACAATGGCACAAGCTTTAGATCCAAATGATCCAACAGTGGTTATTGGTACACTTACAGTTCGTAATGTCAATCAAAGGGATGCTGGTGCTTATTCATGTGAAGCTCTTAATAATCAAGGTTTTACTTTTGCTATTCCTGATGCTATTGTTCATGTTATTATTGGTTTGTATTTTTTATAGTCAAAAAAAAAACAAAGAAGTCTTTTTATATAAACAATTTTTTTTCTCTAATAGATCAACCTCCTAGACCAATAGCACCAGCATGTAATTGTCATGGTCATTCTTCATACTGTACACCAGATGGAATATGTCAAGTATGTATCATTATTAGTTATTTGCATCGCAGGTTAAAGACATGACCAAAAACAGAAAAATTTTTCACAATAGTCTTTTCTAACGAGACTAGAATAATAACTCGAGTTGAAACATTTTTTTCCAAAATTGTCTCATTTTTCAAAATGCTCTTTGAAACTTGAAGATACAATTATCTTCGGTAGGAAAAAATATGCTATGCGATGGTCGTAACTATAATACAGATCTCTAATTATTATATGTATGAAGAAAAAAAAAAAAAGAAAAGTATTTGTCGTTTTATTTTTAGAATTGTCAACATAATACAGCTGGTCAACAATGTGAATATTGTGCTTCAGGTTATCAAGGAGATGCTCGTCGTGGAACACCATACGATTGTGTATTAGTACCAGTTCCTAGTCCACGTCCGTATTTTAATCATTATTTAAAAATAATAAAAAATACTAAACAATTTGATTTTTATATTTCAAACAGGTTGTGATCCATCTGGTACACATATGGAACGTAATGGTCGTTGTGTTTGCAAATATAATGTTCAAGGTGACCGATGTGATCAATGTAAACGTAGTCATTTCTATTTAAATCCAGTAACACCAAATGGTTGTGTACCATGTTTTTGCTCGGGTGTATCAAGTGATTGTGGACCTACGGAGTGGCGACGACAAGCTGTAAAAAAAACTTTTTTCTTTTTCTTTCATTAGTAAAAATAACAAGAAATTAGCGTTTCTTTTTCTGTTAGACACCACTTCCATTAAATAATTGGAGTGCTGTACCAAAAAATTTTGCTACTGATCCATATGAAGTACGTGATCGTATTCAACAACGTCATGGTGGACATGAAATAGCTCTTGATCAAAGTTCATTAGGTCGATCAAATAATGAAGTACTTTATTGGAAAGCACCAAGAGAAGTTCTTGGTGATTTTGTTACATTATATGATGGTAATATTGATATACATTTTACTAATGATGGTAATGAAAATGAAGCACCAAGTAATGATGAATTAATTTGGTTACGTGGTAATAATATTGATCTTGTTCATAAACTTCCTAAAACACAACGATTTCAAGCAAATCGTAATGCTACTTATTCGGTACCATGTAATGAGGTATGAATATTAATTAAATAGAAAAAACAAAATAGAGATTTTAAAAAATGTTTTTTTTTTCTAGAGAACATTTACACGTAAAGATGGTACACATATTGATCGAGAAAATATTCTTATGGCTTTATCTGATTTGGATACTTTACTTATTAAAGTAAATCCAATTGGTGGTCGACGTAAAGCTGCGTAAGATAATAAAATATTTTTCTTTTTTTTATTATAAATTTTTATTGAATTGTTTTTATTTTAGTCTTCGTGGTGTTACTTTAAATCCTGCTAAACCTGATGGTTATGCTGATCCAGCATTAACAGTTGAATCATGTCGTTGTCCAGCTAATTATACTGGTACATCATGTGAAAAATGTGCTGAAGGTTATGGTCGTCCACATCCATTAGTTGGTATTTATTTGGGTCAATGTTGGTCTTGTCGATCAGTATGTCATGGACGAGCAGATCAATGTGATCGAGAGACTGGCAGATGTTTTGTATGTATCATATATAATATAATATTTTGAAATTTTATTAATAAACCTATATATATGTATATATATATATTTGTCTTCGAATAGAATTGTCAAGATAATAGTGAAGGTGATCGATGTGAACGATGTCGTGCAGGTTATATACTTGATGATCGATCTCATCAATGTGTACAAGATGGCTATTATCAACCATGTAAAAATATATATGAAAATTAAATTTTATTTTTGATATATAAAATTTTTTTAGATCCACAACCACAACCACAACCCCAACCACAACCAGAACCAGAACCAGAACCAGAACCACCAGAAGATACTGTTGGACGAGGTACATATTATCTCGATCAAAGACCATGGGATCCACGTAATCCAACACCATTAACTATTGTTTTGGATGGTAATCAACCAGAACAACGTCTTCCACTTCAAGTTCAAGTATATTATCAATTGATTATATATACATATATATATAATAATTATGATTTTTTTTTGTATTTTTCTTCAGCATATCGAACCACAATCGATTGTATGGGGTCGTACTGATGGTGGTCCATTACCAGCAAATGTTGTTCAAGAAGGTTCTGATCTTGTCTTTCGAAATCCATCACAGGACCAAGCTGGAAATTATATTGCCACAATAACTCATCCTAATGGTCATACTGAACGTATTCCTGTTTATGTAGATTATCGTCCAGGTATCTATATATATAGATCTTGGCTTTTTTTTTCTTTGCGTTCTTTTAGAAAATAAATTTTCTTTAAAATTTTCATCTTTAAGGACAATGGAACTATGATCATCAACAACCAGTATTTAGTCCAGCAAGTCCATTATCAATTAATGAAGGTACAAATCAATTTATTCAACCTCCAAATGACTTTAATAGAGCTCATTGTACACGTGCTGATGGACAACCACTTCCATCAGGTATTCAACAACATGGTAATGGTTTACAAATTAGTAGTGCACATCCTGATCATTCGGGTACTTATTATTGTGAATTATATACAAATGACGGTAGAACAGTTCGTGTTCCATATGAAATTCGTGTACAACCTAGTCAACAACATCCATCAGTAGTTGGTGGTAAGTTTCGAAGAATTAAAAGTTTTTTTTTTTTTGTTTTTCTTATTTATTTATTATATCATAGAAGATATATTAAAAAATGAAACAGACTCACAAAAAATTATGATAACAAAATTTCCTGAACGGAAAGGTTATCTTAATTAATGTTGTCTTGTTTATTTTATTTTTTGTCTATTTGTTTAAAAAGAAAATAGAATAATATAAAACTTTGTTAATATCTCTTTGTTTTTTTTTTATTATTATAACATCAGGTACTCCACCAAGAGTAAGTATTCGCCCACAAACAATCAACTTGAAAGAAGGTCAACGTATGATTGTTCAATATACAGTTGCTGTATGTAACAGAAAATTTATTTATTTATTTATTTATTGCATGATTCTTGGTGGTTTTTTTTTAGTCACAGGATCCAATTGAAGTCACTTGGAATAAATTAACTGATCAAGGTTATCAACCAATTCCATCATTATTTTCTGTTGAACCAAATCGTCTTGTTCTTCATCGTGCTACACCTGAATCAGCTGGTACTTATCAAGTTACTGTACGTAATATACATGGTGAAGATCGACAAAATCTAAATATTAATGTCCAACCAAGACGTGGTGGTCATCGTGGTCAACAAGCAGGTGCACCACAAATTAATCTTCAACAAGAACAATATGAAATTGGTCGTGGTGAAAGACTTAATATAGCACCAAATATTTATGTAAAGAATAAAACAAAAAATTTCAAAAAAGTAAAAAAAAAGAACGAAATTTGTTTAATTATATTTAGGGTGCAAATGGAGGAACAATCACATGGTCAAAAGATGGTTCAACAAATTTACCTAATGGTGTAACTGCACATAATGATGGTACATTACAGATTGAAGGTCAATCAGATGATGTTATTGGACCATATACTCTTGATGTAGCTAATGCTCATGGTCGTACATCAAAAAATATTAATGTTCGATGGAAAGGAACACGTAAGTATATTGTTGAGTAAGAAAATAAATGAAAAATAAAATCAACTATTTTGTTTATAGTTAAACGTTTTAGTCGATTGCAAAGAGCAAAAATATTTAAAAAAATAAAATAAAATAAAACAATATTTTGAATATTCGTAGATAATTCCTTTAGTGAAGTCCCGTTCTGTATATCCGTGCTTTATTTATTTTAAAAAAAAAAACAAAGAACGTAGTATTCCCTTTTCGAAATAAATTTAGCCATATTTTTATTTTATATTCTGATTATTTAGATGATCAACAAGATAGTAATGGTAAGAGTGATAGCTTATATTGCTTGGTTTTCTTTTTAAATTGCTTTTGCTTTTTGTTTTTCACCTAAAATAATTATCTTCTTTGCTTATTAATTAATTAATTAAGTAATAACTAATCAATATCAAAAGATTCAATGAAATATTCGTCAATTAACATTACATGAAGCTGTTTGTCGAACAGATAATTGATCTATCAAAACTTCGTTTGAATATAACACGTTATAATAGAAAAACAACATGAACAAATACTATTTGGTCTTTCACTTTCAAATGGTTATTTATCATTGAATACTATTACAAAACAAGATAATGGATTTGAATTTATTTTATTCATATGAAAATGCTTATGATATTCTAACACTTAATATGTTTGCTCATGGAGTAATCCTTTTGGATTTCTTTTTATGCATCTGCTTGCTATGCATTTATTTATTTTATTTTCATTTCTATACTCAAAACAAAAATCTTAAATATATTTTTTGTAGGTCACGATCATGAAGGTTCACGTAGTTATATTGATGTTCGTCTTTTATCACGTGATGATATAAACAGTCTTCAAGTTGGACGTGATATTCATTTACATTGTGCCGTTCATGGAAGTGTTGAACGTCCATATGAATATACATTTACAAAAGACGGTCAAGCATTACAACATAGTAAAATTTGATTGATATTTTATCAGAATATTTGTTCTGTTTTTTTGTATATTAGATGTTGAAGTACATCCAAATGGTGAATTAATTATTCGTAATGCTCAAGCAAGTGATGCTGGACGTTATCGGTAAAGAATTATTTGAACTCAATATTCTTTTTTGTTTTTTTTTTTTGAATAAAATATATATTTTATAAAAATTTAGATGTGAAGTTGCTTTTCCACGTGCACATGACGCTGGAACACGACAAAGTACTTATGATCTTCAATTTGCAGGTAAAAAAAAATCTCATTTACTTTGGAATTATTTATATGAAAATTTCTATTAAAGGTGGTTCAGTAGGAGATTATGAACAAGGTCAGCAATATGAAGGTGAACAAGGTCATCAACCTGGACATGAACAAGGTCATCAACCTGGACATCAACAAGGTCATCAACCTGGACATGAACAAGGTCAGCAATATGAAGGTGAGCAAGGTCATCAACCTGGGCATGAACAAGGTCATCAACCTGGACATGAACAAGATCATCAACCTGGACATGAACAAGATCATCAACCTGGACATGAAGAAGGTCATCAACCTGGACATGAACAAGGTCAACAATATGGACGTGAACATGCTCAACCATCTGATTATGTTGATGTGACTGTTGATCCACCCGAAGTAACTCTTTCACGTGGTGAAAAGGCAGCAATCGCATGTCGAGTTAACGGTGTTGATCAATATGAAGTGATATGGAGTAAATATGGGCATGATACAAGTCTTCCAAGTTATGCACATGTATGTATTAATCATAAAAATTTAGTTTTTTGTATATATAAAAAAACAAAAAAAATTTTTTTTTTTTGTTTGCTAACAATAGCAAGAAGGAAATAATGTTATCGTAGCACCAACGAATGATTCACCTGCTGAACAATTATACTTGCAATGTCAAGTTAATGTTCCAGGTCGTGCTCAACCATCTCAAGCTTATGCATCGGTCAATATTCGTAATGGAGATGAGTCGAGTAAGAAGAAAAAGAAGCGACGCTCGTAAATAGATATAAACTTGTGTGAAATAATTATGCACACTAGTCACAATATCAGTAGAACAACAATTATGTCTCGTTTTTTTTTCTTACGGTTTTACTTGGTATCTATTTTCGTAAAACTAGGTTTTTATTATTTCAAGCTAAAATTGATTAAATTTTCTTTTTTTTTGCTTTGTAGTTTTTCCTATATATGACCACATGTTTTAGACTAGCTACACTGATCTTTCTTTCTTTTTTTAAATGTGTGCATGTTCAGTTAGCTCCTATGTATTCGTCGTTTTATTATAATTTGTGTTTGTAACTGTAACACAGTGTCTGTCTTTTCTCCTCTTACGCAGCTTTTTTTTTATTATTTTGCTAATTGCCCAACGGTGTTCTTTTCTTTCTTTCTTTCTCTCTCTCTCGTTCATTTGCTAAAGCTACTAATAATATTACTAATACTAATGTTGTTGTTTGTATGTTTTTTTTTTTTCGACTAACTTCATAAACAAGATCTTTTAAACAAAAACACTGTACATGTAGTGCAATGCATCCACACGCACATATATAGATATAGATACATATATATAGAAGTGTTTGAAAGTAGTCTTAGTTAACTGATATATATATTCTAATTAATATTGAACTACTATATGGGTTGATTTAGCTATTCGTCGTAAACCGACATTATTAATTGAACCATCGACACATATTCGAATATCAAAAGGAGACAAATTGCGTATAAAATGTTTTGATCCATATGAAACTTATTCAACAACAATTAGTTGGTTTAGGTGTGTAATTTTAATTCTTAATTCTAGAAAAAAAAAATATTATTTAAATTGTTTCTTGTTCAATATTTACAAAATGATAAGATAGATCAGAAATTCTAACACATTTTTATTTTTGTAAAATCTTACTCAATTTCAATTATTTATCGATAAATCAGACTTATATAGTATAAAGAAATAATCAATCTATAATAACAATAATTTTCTGTATCCAATGTAGACTCAAATCAGAGTATTGCATATATTTATTTATTAAGAATTTTAAAATTTAGGACGTGAATGGATGAAGAGTTTAATCAGGGAGATTGATTTTAGTCTTAAATATGTTGGTGATATTTTTAAAATGAAAAAGGTCTCTGACATCTTTTCAATTAAAATTATTTCCTTTTCTTTTTACAAAAGCTAGCTATTTAGAAATAGTTTGATTTACTTTTATTGTCAAAGAAGAAATGTTCATTGTTCATGATAGGACTACATCGAATCCTCGTCCATGAGAATTTTTCAAATAATACGTGTTAGTATTGATTCACATTTGAATATATGAAAATCTACGAGATCTACTTCATACATAAGCATTTTTGTTATCGAATAATTTGATATTACTATTAATCATGTTTATACTGAACTTTATATGAATAACTCATTGAAAATAGATTTCATTGTTATTTTATTCCTTTTCATGAATATGTTTTGTTTGTGTTATCTCTTGAATAATAATTTAGGAAAGATATTACATTGATAATATTATCAAATCAACATTCAAATGGTATTCTTGATTTTGATTTCGTATCAGATTCAGATATTGGTCAATATGTCTGTCGTGGTGAAAATCAAGCTGGTTATACTGAAGAAATAGTTACAGTTGAGGTTACTGGTATATAAAAATAATGCTTGTAGAAAAATAAGAATACAAATTGAATTCTATTTTTGTTTTTGAAAAAAAAAAACATAGGATTTCCACCTTCTATTATCATTTTACCAAAGGTAACTAATCGATATCTTCAAGTACCATACTATTCAACTCAAACTATCGAATGTTTAAATGAAGATAATAGTATACCAGTAGATATAACTTGGCGTCGTGTAGATACTGTATGTAGATCAATATTATTAAAAGAAATTATCAAATTAGAATATTTAAGAATGATTTGGATGTATCAAAAACAACAAGACTTTTTCCATCAAATATGCCTTTAGAATTTAAACATAGTGGTACATATATATGTATTGCTACAAATCCATATGGTTCTACTTCAGAAACTATTACTATTGATGGTAATATTTGTTTATTTTTTTTTTAAATTTTAACTAATTTATTTATAATAGTTCAACAAATACCACATGACATTTCAATTGATATTGAACCTACAAATATATTTTTAATTAATAGTGAAGTACGTTTTAATTGTAGATTACCACAATCAAATGATATTTGGTGGTCATCAATAAATCATTATCAACGAGAAAATAATCCACTTACATTTCATGTAGGATCAAATTATATTAATAAAAAATTTATTTGTCATGCAAAAGATATTAATGGAAAATTACATAGAAAAATAATTCGTATTCAACGTTATTCAGCAGAATATTTAATCGCAGTTGTTAGTAATGATGAAGTTCAAAGAAGTTTAACAACTAATCAACGAAAAAGTACATAGATATGATCGAAAATATTCAAAAAAATTTTTTTTTTCGTTTTGTTTAGCAAAAACACCTAAAATTCATATTAGATTAATTACTGCTCGAACGGACATTAAAGCAGGTGGAATTGTTGAATTACATTGTTATGTTGAAGGTATAAAATTGAATAGAAGAATCGTTTATCTATCTATATCTAATTTTAGATATTTTACCTAATAAAGTATCTTGGTCATTTCAATCAGGTTCATTACCAAGCAATACACATGTAACAAATGATGGTCATTTATTAATTTTTGATTTTAATACAGACAATCTAGGAACATATACTTGTTCAGCAGAAACTTCTACTAAACATCTTTCACAATCAATTGAATTTCAACCAAATGATATATCTAATAATAATAATAATAATAATAATAATATAAAACCATCACTTTCATATCAAATCTATTCATCACGTTCGGATTATCGTATTGGTGGACGTCTTCTTATTGAATGTATTTCTTCAGGTAGAATTTTTTTTTTTTTTTAGAGAATATATATATATATTTCTAATGAAATTTCAGATCCTAATCTTTCAAAATTATGGATAAAAAAACATGGAAAATTAAATAAAAATATATCTGAAACTTATCTTTTTATGAATAAATTAAATCGAAAAAATATTGCTCAATATCAATGTTTATCATCAAATGAAAATCAACAATCATCAATTAATTTTAAGATTACACATTCAAATATTCTTTCTCATAGATTACCATTAGATAAAACTTCAAATCTTCATATTGAATTTCTTTCATCAATAAATCAAATAAAACTTGGTGGAAATATTCTTATTAATTGTTCATCATCTAATCAAACACCAGTACAATGGTTATTAACTAAACAAATAGATGGAATAATAATAAATAATTCTTATCTTCATATTCCAAAATTTTTACATAATCATTTTGATTATTATCATTGTATAAATCATAATGAACGAAAAAATTTAGTTTTATCTCCAAGTTTATTTGAATTACTAGCAAATTTTAATTTAAAAAAACCAAAACCAATTAAATATAATAAATCTTCTATTGAAATTATTGAAGGAAAATATATTGGAGATAATATTACTTTAATATGTCGAATAGGACGAGGTAATAATGATTTTTTTTTTCTTTTTGTAAATTTATTTTTCGAAGGTTTTATTTGTTTTTCTTTTTTTCTATGTTTAGATATTTCACAAGGAAAAGTAGTTTGGTCAAATGTTCCCATAGATAAAAATCATTTTTATATACGTGGTCCTCGTTTAGAATTTCGTCCATTTAAATTAGAACATCATAATCAATACAAATGTCTTATTAAATCAAAACTATCAAATGAAATTTTACGTACACTAACATTTAATACACAGTCAAATATTTACGAACAAATAGATAGAAAACCAAAAATGAATTTAACAATTGATACATCACATTTATTGGATAATGGTGAATTAAGACTTATTTGTAGTACAGGTAAATTTCATTTCAATAGAAAATCAAAAAAAAAAATTGTTTTCTAATGATGCTTTTTTTTTTTTTAGATAATTTAAATAAATATCATCAATGGACATTTGATGATCAAATACCAAGATCAAAAATTCATTATGAATTATTAATGAATGATTATACATCAATTATGATAATACCGGATTTTGATCTTGAAGTTGATTTAGGAAAATATGAATGTTCAACAACAAATATCTATGGTACAACAATGAGATTTATTAATATTGATAAAGATTTATTGAAATCAGACTGAACATATGTAGAATAATTTGAAAATAAACTTTCGATTTGATAAACGATACGCACAATATTGCTTAGTTTTCTTTTCTCTATCTTGTGATAAAAATTTGTGATAGATATATTTGATTCGATTTGTTGTTTTATTTCTTGTTTATTTACATAGACTTAAAAATTATTCACTTGAAAAAATATAATTTTTACTTATTTAAACATTATGTAAAATATTTTCAAAAAAAAAAAAAGCTATTTCATTTTTTTTTTCTACTAAATAATAATGAAATCGAATAAAAATATTTTAAATTTAGTTTTTGTACAATATTTTCTTGAATATTTGCTTAGAGATATATAAATATTAGTTATTTTAAAGTTTAAATTTTGAATTCTTCTAAGCAATAGATATGTTTAGATAAATCGATAAATATGAATTATTATCTTCTAGTTGAATATAGTTTTACTCATTTAAAATAATACAAAAAACATTAGTTGAAGTTTTAAATAAACAAGTCTTAACATTTTGTTTTTTTGTAAAGCCAACAATACAAAAATGTTTCATATATCATCAAAATATAATGATGAATAAAAGAATTTAATTTCGATTAATTGATATTTTATCTAAATCAATTGAGTTATTATAATAAATCTCTTTCTAGTTACTGTAGAATATTCTTTTTCTTTTTGATGATGTTTCAACAATTGAAACTGCCGTCTTTGGACTTTATCGATCGAAAATGAAAAGTAATAGAACACACACACACACACTGTATTTTTCATTTCTGTTATTGTTGTGATTTTGATAATAAGTCGACAAGATGGTGATAGTTGGCAGAAATGATTTTTTTTTGTCATCTTCTTCCGACCTACTATCAAAATTATAACAACAACAAAAAAAATAATAATATGTGTGTGTTCTAGTATTTTTCATTTTCGATCAAAAAAGTCCAAAGAAAGCAGCGTGAATTTTCGAAACATCACCAAAAAAGAAAAAGAATATTCTGAAGTAACTAGGAGGATATTTACTAATAGCTAACAATCAATAAATTAATTATGATCTTCTTTAGCAAAATCGAACTGAATTGTATCTAAATAAATTTACACAAGTAACTTGAATAAAATTGATTTATGTAATAATAATAATAATAATCTGTGATATAATACGTCAAACACTTCTTTTTTCATGTAAAACAGAAATTCATTTAAATTCGGAAGTAGATACAGGTAAGTTTCAGTGTAATTACTTCTTTGAATTTTATAATAAAATAATCTAGAGTATCTTCTTTATAGAATTTTATCTAGATTTTCTCTTTTGGATGAGCAATTTAAAACTTCCGAAAGGATAATCCGATTTTTGAAGGGATGCTGTCTCCATGCTGCATAAAAACATTGCTCTTTCAGACAATAAATTTCTTTAGTAGTATTTAAAAATTAAATCTTTTTCTCTTAGCCTTTTCTTATCTTGTTATTAGATTGAAACTGAATAGTTGAATTCAATTATTGAAGATCTTTTTAGATATTGCTTCGTATGTATGTTTTCTTGGCACAATCAACAAGAGAATTACTTTTTTGTATGTGTTTCAATAAATGTCTGAATTTTAGATATTTTATTATTGAATTCAACTTTCAAGTTTGACATTACAACATTAGATGTAATTGCCTATCTCACTGTCATGTTCTTATTGTCATTTTTAAATTTATTTGATAGTGCTTTTTTTTTTCGTTTTTTTTTCTTGCATTTCTTCTGTATTCTTGATTTATTTCTAACATATATATAAAGTATATGATATATTAAAGTAAATTTATTCAGTTAAATCATGATCATTTCATTATTTAAAAAGAGGCAAAGTTTTTTTTTTAATATTAACTGTTTCTTGTTTCTATTATTTGACTTTTTCGAACTCGACATGTCATTATCCTGTGATACAAGTGGTACTAATTGTAAGAGATTCTCGTCGAATACAACGAACGGTAATAATACCGTTCTAGGTCTTGTACTTGGTTCTATAGCATCTCTAATTGTTGTTATATTAATTGTCATAATTACATATATGGTACATTGTAAAGGATATTTTCGAAAAAGATTACAATGTCGGCTACGAGGAGGTCGAACGTTACAAAATCAAGAACTATCGGATCAACAACAACCACAAGTAAATTCACAAGAGTCTTCTAATAAACTATCACCTTCATATCAAGAAACAAATAAATATGATAATGTTATGTTTTAATCAAGACATTTAAAAAAAAGTTTGAATTCATCGATTATCTATTTAATTTAAATATTAATTTATTCATTTTACTACGCTGTATTATGTACTTTTGTGGAACTCATTCTTGGTTTTTTTAATTTAGTCACACTCTTCGTTTTGTATCTTAATCAATACTTTTATAAATGAAATTTGAATATAAAGCTGGTCATTATTGGCAACAATCTGGAAGATTTTCATTCATAAGACATTGATGTTTATACTTCAATTTTCTTTTTAAAAATAGGCATTGTGTTATATATATATCAGCGTTCAATCTAACATGCGAGTTTAAACTAATCCAGATTTGGATCGAGCAAAGCTCTGAAATCTATGTTAGATTTTGAATTTTTTGTTTTGGATGAACTACAATACAATGATAATACTTTTTTTGTGAATAGTCGATTCTGATCATGAAAATTCACATATAAAACTACTTAAAACTTGTTTAATCTAACTTTGACTTTTGAACAGACTAATTTAAAAAGTAAATACCATAAATTTGTTGTAGCTCATGAATAAAAGGTTTTAAATCGAACAACGATTTCAGGATCTAAAATGAGTTTTGATCTCAACTTTTTGTTTAATCCAAGTTTGAATTAATTCAAATTCGGGTCTTAAATTGTACGCTGACATAAAAATGTTCTATTAATTTATAGAACACGAAACGATGGAACAAAGTCAACTAATCAATCATGAATAAAAAAAAAACCAAATTATCAATATATTTGTATTCTTTGTGTATTTGTTTCTTTCAGTTGATTGATGCTCTTGTGGTAGTATTCTGATAAAAACTCTAAAAATTTTTTATTAGAACACTATGTAATATCCATAGGCAAAAAATTATTGAAATCAGAAGACAACAGCTGAAAAGGTTTCCGCGTCAATGGAACGTCAATTACAAAAATGTATCAAACAAAGAACAATCAACGTGGTATTGATATTATTTTCTGTCTCAAAATACTATTTGAGTTTTTTGAACAACATTACCTTTTTTTGTTTGCTATCTCAAAATAAAGCCTTGTCATGGAAGTAACCTCACAAACATTTTTACTTTAACTTTCAAACAAAAAAACCAGAAATATCTATTGTTCTCATTATCACACACATTTGAAATAATATTTTGAAAAAACAAATTTCAGTTTGTGATTTCTTGATAAAGATGTCTCAAAATAAAGATCTCCTGTTTTTTGAATAACTAACTTTGCTTGTTTAATAGAATTGAACTATGAAGAAAATAGTACAAATGTACAAATTTGTTCATTTCGGTATCTGACGACCGTATAATTAAATTTTTTGAAATCATGGTGAAAAAAAAATGTCACCTTGATCAAAATTGTACGAATATGTTTGGGTGTATAAAACATGCATAATTTTCAAAGATAGGTCTCTCATTTAACATAGACTCAGTCAACAACACTAGTTATTATAGAGTAAATACTAGACAACATGATGATTCTTTTGATATCGACCAAATCTTAAGAAGTCTCATATTTTGATTATTAGAATCTTCTAGATATATTCTTTGTAAAATTTTAAATAAAAGAATATTGACAGTTATCTTGTTCTTGGTCAATAATGACAGTTATTCGTAGATTGTAATCAATTTATTTTTCTTGTTCTCTTTTTTCTGTTCTTTCTTTTGCATTTTGATTTTTTTTTCTAATGTAGTCATCTATAGTTCAGGTTTTAATAGTGTAAATTTAGATATATCTACGTTACTTCTATCGAGTTTAGTCGAATATTCTTCACATTGGTTCTTCTTGATTTTGATATTAGTTGGAAAAACATGATGTCGTCAACAATATGTTCGAATAGTTCAGGATGTTATTCTCACACTAATTCTACGTTTGATGATCTTTCCAATATTGGCAAAATTCTTGGTATTGTAATTGGATCTATATTAGGACTTGCTGTTTTGATATGTGTTATTGCAATTATTTATTTGACTTTTTGCAAGAGAAGATCTCAAGTACAAGTTTGGACTCATCCACTTCCAACATCAGTACCCTATAGACAGTCGATATCGATGTATCCATATGCAAATTATTCACAAGAACCTATACAACAGGCAAAATCAAATTTCCAAAAGATAGTAGAAGAACCACCACCTGCCTATGAAGAAATAAACGGAATGGAAAATTTAACTGAGAGGATTTAAGCATTTTCTTATATTTTGCATTATGAAATTAATAATAAATAAAATGTGAATATTAAATGACTTTCTCTTTATGGTATTAAAAAAAAAGTTAGAAGTATTTAAGAAAATTATAATTCTGTTTCAATTGTTATTGATTATATACATATATGTAATTTATTAAAAGTTCTTTTTTAATTATTGAACTTGAATCTTTTCACTAATTAAGTGCCTTAATATTTCGTTTTCTACTGAAAAAAACTCAGTAGAAAAATTTAAAACCTACATGTTTTAGTATTAAAACATTAAAATTCATTTAGTCTTAGAAGAAGACTGGCGGAAAACTCATATCTTTATAAAACACCTTGTAAACTTTTTTTCGAAAGAATCTACTAATAAGAATGACTCTCTAATTTGAGATGGAGAGATTAAGAATAATTATTAGGTCAATTCAGCTAGAAAATATTGACACTGTATATTCTTTTGGACAATTTAAATATTGATAGGCTTTGAAGCATTAACAAACTTAATTATTTTCGTTCCTGTCTTCCTACCTACATGTTGTTTTTTTTCCATTGAATCAATAAATCGTGGCCTATTTCTTATTAGATTTTTTTTTGACAAACATATCAACTATTTTTTGTCATTAAATTTTAAGAGTCGATTGTCACGTTCATTAATGTATTTACTCTTTATAACTGAGTGATATTCACAAGATTATATACTTTACATTATGTAGAAAAAAAAACGTAATATTAACATTAAAAAAAGAAAAAAGCCAGAATTTTATTGCAATTTGAATCAAATAAAAACTGATTTATTTTAGCTAATCGATGACAGGTATAGTTGTTCTTTGTATTATGTATTTGGCGAACAACAAATTCAATCTGACACGGATATAAACATGATTGAATCTTTTCTTTCAATAGTGCATTTCGATAATATGTGAAACAAAATAAAAACCAAGCGTATAGTCTTGGTGTTATATAAATGATGTATGATTAAATTTAACAGTCTTTTGAAGATAGATATTGATTTTTCTTGTTGATCATGATCTAACAATAAAAAACACATATATTGACTTAAATAAAAAAAAATGAATAAAGAAGAAACATCATATTTTATTGTTATTCTATGTTTTTATTGAATTTTGAATGTCAGATGCTTTAATACATAACGGTGAAATATCTGAACAGTTTACGAATTAAATGAGAAAATAATTTATAATACAAAAAACAAACTAAATATTATATGTATTTGACTCATTGGAAAAATACACGATTTTGATCAAAATAACGTTTGCTATATAATAATAAATATGTTCAACGGAAAAACTGAAAATAAATTTTAATGATATTTTTCTATGATAAGAAAAATCTATAGATAAAAATCAAAACTTCTAATACTTTTAAATTTACATCGATGTTCATTATTCTGTCACATATAATTTTTTTCATATTTAATTAATTTTAAAAAATAAAATTGAATAGTGTCCACTTTATCTGAATATAAACTTTTAAAGGTTTCATCAAACCTATAAATTTTCATTCTTTTTTTTTATGTACTATTCATCCGATCTATTGTTTTTTTCGTGAATGTAATGAAGCAATTTATTTTTTTTCTAATATCTTTTCTTTTTCATTTCTACATATGAATCCTTTCCAAAACACATACAACATCTTTCGAACGTTGTAATTAAAAAGAAAAGAACTGAATTCAAAACCTGATTATTCTTTCATTAACAACAAAAAGAAATTTTTTTTTATAAATTCGATTAGACCATTTGTTCATCATTGATTTGCATCTCGTCAAAATGTCATCCAGTAGTTCAAGTATCAGCGTAACCGACATTATTGGCATTGTAATTGGAGGAGTCTTAGGCCTTGCTACTGTTGTTGGCCTTATTATTACAATTTATGTAATGTGCTGTAAGAAAAATAATCAGTCACAAGTATGGGCTCAACCACATCCATACCAACCACCATATGGTCCTTATGGTCAACCGGCGAATAGTGGCTACTACTCACAACAATTACCTTATCAACAATCAGAACAACAAACATGGAATAAACAATCAACAAATAATAATGATCAACCACCAAATTATTCTGCTGTAAATCCTGAAAGTAGTTCATATGGAAAAACTTAAATATTTATTATTAATTATATATATATATATTAAACAGAAGTCTAAATGAAAATTTTCTCTGAAATATGTAAAATTTTATTCGAAATTTTTTGTTTTACTAAATAAATAAACATTTAGACTATATATATTTTAGTTATATGATTCTGAATTTAGAGGAAATATCAATATTTCTATTTTCTTAATTTTTCATAATAAAACAAAGAATTACTATTTCTCGATGATAAATTTGAGTAACGTATATATAAAAGTAAATTAAGCTCTGACGCAAATCTATGCATGACAAAATAGTAAATAATTTTTTTTTTTATAAAAAAAAGAAATTTATCACGAATGATCATTAAAAAAAAAAAGTTTCAATATTTCCGTTTTCTAATTATTCTAAGAAATCATGTCTATTAAAATTGATTTAACGATAATATAATGTTGAGAGATAAAAATCATATAACAGAAATTTTTCTAAAATCTATCATCATGTTGCGTGTTTGTGATGTTATATTACTACTATGTAAGTATGATATACTTTAGTTAATTTTAATTTTTTAAATTGATTTAGTTATTATTACCGATGATCAAAATTGGGTTTCAGCCAATGTGGATAACCTGTTGTTATTTAATGATAAAAGTATGTAGATTCAAAATATACAACTAGAGAGAAATAAAGACTATTTTAGTCACTTATGATGTCAAACACATATAGCAGAAAAACTATTTTGAATGATATATACAATGTAATCTACTTGTTCTTGATAGAAAACTCTAAAGTCTTACGAGAGAAGTTCTCCAACTGATAAATCACTTTTGAGTCGAGATAGAGCAATGAGCTAAAAACACAAATTTTTTTTCAGGATATTCATAGCTTATATGACTCAATATAATGTACATAGTCTAGACTCAAAATTAATTTATCAGTTGAAAAACTTCTCTCATTTGATAAAATAATTAACAAAGATAAAAAAAAAAACAATAAGCATTTAAATTGAGTCATCCATTTTTGATCACTGATAGTAGAACATTATTATTTAAAGGAAGGCTAGTGTCGAGAAATATAATGAAGGATATTATTAAAAAAATATTATCTGTCATATAAGACTAAAACCTTTAGATTATATCAATGATTTAAAGATTAATAAATATTGTCGTTCAAATCAACCAAGTGGTATAAGCAATAGTAACAAAGAAAAATTTCTATCGAATAGTTTTCTCAATATATTCATTTCAAACAAAGATTTTATCAATGTACAAAACAATGATACAAATCAAAATATCTATTGTCGACAACAAACTGTAAATAAAAAAATATAATTCATTTATTAATAAATTTCTTTTAATTTTCTAGATTAATTCATTAGATTTACAATTCAAAAAATCTATTTCTAATCTCAATGAAAATTTAAATATTAGTGAAAAATTTGAATTAAATACTCAATTAATTTCTATCACACTCGAAAAATTATCATCAAATAATATTACAGATAAACAACTATTTCAATTAAACGGTGCTAATGTTCGATTTCCTCAATTAAATATTAATAAATCAATTATAATCAAAGTAAGGACAAACAGGTTTTTTTTTTCTTGCTATATGTTTTTTTTCTATATTCAGCTAATTACTTTACCATTTTCATCAATTGTTTCATTAACATTACATGATCAATATGGTCAAATAATAAATATTAAAAATACAACAAATCCATTTGAAATTTTTATACCACGTAAAACTAATATTCTTATGCCTTCGATGATTCGTGAAAATGTTACATTATTATCAAATAATTTAAAATTTAAATTTTATTATATTAATTTAACACATAATCTTAATTTATCAATTTCACTTCATATTGAAATTGAACCAGAAAATCAAAATCTTTCATATTTATTTATTATTCGATTTAGTAATGTACCTAATTTAAAGAAAAATCTTATCGATGAATGGAAACTTATGTGTCCAAAAGGTTATTTTTTTTGTTATTAATAAAAACAAATTATTATAGAAAAAAAAAATTCTTTTTTTTTCCCTAGATCGAAAACCTCATACTTCAAAATATATATATTTTATTGATAATACTCGAATTTCACATCATCAATGGGCTATTATTGGTATTCGTGAAATGAAAGAATGTAATCGAAATAATCTTGATGATAATATTCAATTTTCATCTGATTATTCTATTCGAATGTATACATCTGGTTGTTATTATCTTGATGATAATAATAATTGGCAATCAGATGGATTGATTGTAAGATGCCGACTATTCGAAATTTGAGCAAAACTTTTTCTTATTATGATTGGATAGAACTCGTCGAGTTACCTATAGGAATGTTATTTTTGACATATTTAGATGATATTTTTGTAGTGAAGCGTAGGAAAGTTAGGTTGAAAAAAAAAACCAACCAGAAAATCCTATAAAAATTGACTGAGGATCAATCGTCAATGAAATTTTTCATACTTTTTCTTGACTTAGAAGACTGAAATTGTTATGAAATATATATATACATCTAACCAAGATTTTTTATTTTCCAAAGTTTCAACTCGCTAACTAAAACTAGAGTTGAAATGCATGGACAACATTAACATACATGAATTGTCGTACTAGTAGATTTTTGTAATATTTTTACTACGTAGTCAATCGTAACAGAGCTGCTAAAGGTTATTTTAATTATGAATGGAAAACATTCATTTATGAAACAATTTAGATTTAATAATAAGTTTTATTTTAAATGTCCATCAGTTATGAAAACAGAAAAGATCGTAAAGGGTTTTTATTGAAGTTAAATCGTCTCAAAATAACATGAAGTATCGATCGTACGGTTTATAGTACAATTATTTAATGAAAATATAATGTGTGATGCATACTGAACGAAAGGATTCACGGAAAAATATTTGATACATTATTACAATTAGAAAAAGAAAATGTACAAAAAATATGATAAACGAAATATCTTATCAATCATAATTGATCATAGAAAACAATGGAGAGCATGTTCATACACATTGAGTTTTATTTTAATTTACATTTTTGAAAAAATTCCTCTTGTATAGTTTCTTTCCATCAGATGTTTATAAATATACATGGTCAACAAACAAAAATGTCATAAAAATCAAATACAAAATTTCATGTATTTCGACATTAATTGTAACTAGAGAGTCGAAACTTCGGAATGTTAAAGATTTTGGTTAGATATATATATATATATATGGGATGATAATTTCAATCTTCTCCGTCAAGAAAATGTATGAAAAATGTCCTTGACAATTTATCCTCATTTATTATAGGGCACCTGTTACAGGTTTGTATTCTAAGATTTTCACCATCAGAACTTCTGTTCCGACAGAAACGAATATGATATTTGAAATCAGTATAAAAATTTGCATCGAGTAATATACTCAATATTGAAAACTAATTTTTGCCAGATTTTAGTTCTTACACATCCCTAATTGGTACTTTTGAATACTTTGATCTCTACTTCTTCTAAGGTCGAAATTGGTCGAAAATTAGTTTCTAGTATTGAGTGTATTATTCGATACAGATTTTTATGCTGATTCTGAATATGATATTCGTTTCTTTTGGAATTGAAGTTCTGATCGTGAAAATCTTCGAATACAAACGCGTATTTATGATTTTTTTGCTATCATATCGAAAAAAATCGATTTTTTTCAGCAATCAAATAATACTTTTCGAAAATCATGTATAATTTTTTTCTTAACTATATGACGAGCAAAATGAAGAAAAAATATTCCGAAACTTGACGCTTTTGGTGTTTCATTTTTTTTTGTTTTTTTTTTTGTAATCTAAGTTTTACTACTAAAACATCGCTTGAACATGTCAAAAACAATGTTCCTATAGATGACTCGACGAGCTCTATTCAACCATGACAAAAAAGATACAATAAACCATTTTATAATTTAAATTAGGTTGGATCGAAAACAAATGAAAGTTTTACCCAATGTTATTCAACACATTTAACAACATTTGCTGCAAGTTTAGTATTTCCTACACCTGTTCCTTGGCATTCATTAGACTTTGATTTTAAACGAAATATAACTATTTATATTACATTAATTATTATTGGTTTAGTTTATTTTCTAACAACTGGATTTTCATATTATAAAGATGGTATTGATGCAAAAATGGTAAACAAAATGAAAAAAAAAAAACTTTGGTTTTTTTTTATATTGAAATACTTTTTTTTTTCGTTTAGCTAATGGTAATACCACTTAGTGATAATAACCGACATGATAAATATCTTTATCAATTAGTAGTATTTACAGGAATGAGAGCAAATGCTGGTACAAAATCAAAAGTAAGAAAAGAAAACAAAAGAAATAAAATATAATGAAGATTTATTTAAATTATAAGGTTCATTTTGTTCTTTCGGGAAATCAAGATGAAACTGATATACGAAAATTAACGGCTAATAGACGAATATTTGCTCGCGGAAATGTTGATGCATTCATTATGGCTGTTCCAAGGTTTTGTTAATAAAATTTTTTTTTTAACAGAAATGTTTTCTTTGTTTTTTCTTTTTTTCTATATTATAGATCACTTGGTCAACTTAATTATCTTCGTATATGGCATGATAATTCTGGTTCAGATTCGGATGCATCATGGTTTCTTAAATATGTCTTAGTACGAGATTTACAAACAATGGAAACAAGTTATTTTATTTGTGAAAAATGGTTAGCAGTTGAAAAAGATTCTGGAGAAGTAAGCAATCATTATATTCTTAGTAATATTTTATCTAAATTTGATCTCTTCGAAAGAATGATTTAAAGCTTCAGAAGGATGAACACCTTGAATTTTTTTTTTGGAAATATAGATACATAATAGTACGTGCTATAATAGCCACAAACTCTGAGAGACAAACTCAATTTTCAGAAGGACATCATTATCTCCTTGACTAAAACACTAATTTTTAGTTTTTATTTAAAAAATTAAATTTATTTTTATCATAGATTGATGTGACAATAAATGCAGCAAGTGAACTAGAAACAATGGAAT